AGGCCCTAGGCCAGTGTGACTTCTGGAAGACTCCCTCTCCCCACTCATTCCCTGCCCAGGCAAACCCTCTCAGCCCAGGTGTGGCAGGGGTGGGGTCCCAGGAAAAAGAGGAACGAGGGCCAAAATGGCCCTGAAGGACACCCCTGTCTTGCACCAGGGCCTATGGTTGGGAGTTGGAGAAGACAGCTCCACCCACCCTGCTGGGCTTCAAAGTGAGATGGAAGCTCCCCCAGAAGGCCTCAGGATACTTGATGGGAGGAACAAGATCCCCCTCACCCCACCCCCGCCAATGTCCAAGTCCAGACAGTGAGACGCATATGTTGAGAGGGCAGGCAGACAGACACCGATCAGGTGTGAAGACAACCATTGGCGGACCCAGACAGCCAGGAACAGGAACACTCTTAGGGCGGGAGACCCAGACAAATACTGGCCAGCGAAGGGCACAGTCAGACCCAGACAAGCAGACCCAGACAGACACCGAGGGAAAGGGCGGGAAGCTGACGCCGACCACTGTAGACAAAGGGAGACAGACCCCCGGAAGGCCCCAGATAACCCCTCCCCCACAGGACGGGGCGCCTTTGCGCTCCTGCCCCGCCCCTCTATCTGAACGCCACGCCCACTTACCCATCCCCGCCTTCCTGATTGCCCTGACCAGCCGGTCCTTCCCGATTTGGGGGAGACCCCTTGCTAGGACCTGCCTCTTTGGTAGGTCAAGATTAGTGCCCTTAGCGTGTCCTCCGGATAAGACAAGGTTGCGGGTTCCATCTCCAGTTAAGGCACACAACCAATGAATGCATAAATAAGTGGAACAACAAATCCATGTTTCTCTATCTCAAAAATCAATTTTAAAAAACAAATTTACTTAAAAAAAAATCATTGCCTTCAGGGAAGCTAGCGGAGAGAAGGCACAGGAGAAGGGGTGTCAGGGGGGGCCCCTCAGTGTGATCAGAGTGCCTCGGCCCTGATGACTTCGCATTCTGTCTTCATAGTCACCAAGAACAAAGTGGGAGCTGTATACCAAAATCTCAGAGCATCGCCTTCCTCATGGATAAAATGGGTATTCTGATAATAGGGTGATGGATGTAAAGAGTTATTATTATTACTATCTCTGCCCTCCCACCCCACCCCCACCCCCGAGTTCTAGGCATTCTCTCTTTAAAAAAAAAAAAGTTTTTTATTGATTTATTTTTTTAAAGAGAGAGGAAGGGAGAGATAGAAACATTCATGGGAGTCATGGCCGGTTTGGTTCAGCGGTTAGAGCGTCGGCCTGTGGTCCAGACAGCAGACAGAACCGGGTTCGGTTCCTGCTAAGGGCACATACCTCCGTTGCAGTTTGTCCCTGGCCCCGGTTGGGTTGTGCGGGTGGCAGCCACTCGATGTGTCCCTTTCATGTCGATGTTTCTCTCTCTCTCTCTCTCCCTCCCACTCTATCTGAGCAAAAAGTGGGAAAAATGTCTCGGGTGAGGATAAAAAAAATTTTTTTTTTAAAAAAGAAATATCCATGGGCGAGAGAGAGAGAGAAACATCGGTCGGCCGCCTCCTGCATGCTCCCTCTGAAGTTCGAGCCCGCAATCCGGTCATTTGTCCTGACCCGGAATGGAACCGGGACCTCTCAGTCCATGGGCCAACCCTCAATCCACTGAGCCACACTGGCCGGGCTAGGCATTCTCCAGTTAGGACCATCACTCCCAAGTCAGGAGAACCCACATTCTCTCTCGGAAGGACTTGGGTAAAGGGGAGGAGTCCTAGCCGCGGTCCACCTACCTGAGCCCGAATGGGGCCTGATGGCCAGGTGGATGGGTCAAGGGGAGGACGCCCCACCCAGAGCTCCCGACAGGGGTGGGCACTTGACTGGGCCCCGGCCTAGGACGAGAGGCCGGGCTTTGAGGAAGGGGCTTCATGAGTTGGGGAAATTTCCTGAGGCGAATCTTTCAGGGATCGGGATTCTAGGGGCTCTGGTTTGTGGGCAGGTCCTGTCAGGGCGGACCTTAAGGGGGTTGGGCTCCAAGGGGCAGCCTTGGGGATTCCGTAGAGGGAGGCCCTGGAGGTTGGGGGTCTGTGACCTTGGTCGCTCCTTGGGCCCACAAAATGTGGGGTGCTACCAGGGTTAGATTCACTGGGCGGGGCCTGCGAGGAGGCCTTTAGAGGAGCTGGGCTCTTTGAGGACAGGCTTAGGGGGCAGGTTTTAGGGGGGTTGGGCGTGGGGGGCGGAGTCCATGGGAATCTATATGGGTGGGCTTTAGAAGGAGCGTTCTAGGGACAGGCAATATGTGGGTGGGCTTTAAGGGGGCGGGTCTTGGGGCGAGGCCAGGGTTGGTGGCTTTAGAGGGGCGGGTATCCTGGGGCAGAATCTGAGTGGGGTCTCAGGGGAGGGATTTGGGGGCCTGTGCTGACTCAGGCTGACTACACCAGGGACCTTTTAGGGTTTATTTAAACTTAGCGCACTTGGGGTTCCTGATCCAACTTAGGGTTATGTCAAGGGGTTCCTGTGGGGCTCCATATTCCCCTGTGTGAAAAGGGAGGGAGCTGGAAATTTGAAGAAGCCTCCCCAGGTCGTCCAGGTGGGGGGCAGCCTCCCCACAGACTGTACGTGGGGGCACCCGATGGGGCGCGCACCCAATTGTGCGCAGTTCCTGGAGGGAAGGACTGAAGGCGGTTTTACCGGGAGGAAATGAGGAGGGGGCAGTCCAAGCAGCTATTTTCCTGCAGTGTATTTTGAGGTCTGAGGGTGAGCAACCTTGTACCCTTACATCACCAAGGGCCTGAGTTCAGATGCCTTGAGATCCTGCAGGAGGGCAACAGTGTTCCCTCTCATCCTCTTCCTTCTCCCCTATTCAGTGGGCAAGTGGACCTACGGGTGGGCCTGGCAGCCTCCCACTGTGAGCCCAGCATTTACAAAGTGGAGACCCTGATAACCCCCAGGGGTTGTTGTGATTCATAAACAATTGTGCCCAGGAACACAGTGAGGCTCACAGAAGGTATACATTGTATTTAAATTACTTGTTTATCTCTCCATTGCATGATGTTCCCCCTCCCCCATACAAGGCAGCCAGACACATCTTGGGGCCACTAAGAGTGGTGCCTTCTGGTCTCAGTCTGCCACACTGACAAATGGGCTACCTCTGCACCTTCCAGGGTCATTTTGAGGATGATTTGAATAAATGCATGAAGCAGGGAGCCCAGCACCCAGTATTGCTACATCCATGTAGCAAAGACTACATAAATATCTACTGTTACCATAATTTATATTAATCTTGTGCTTTTCCAGATCCTGGAGCAGAGAGTTGGCACCTAGTGTTTGCTTACTTAATGAATCAGTAGGTCCCTCCCTCCCTCACCTATCCTGTTCCCTGTCCCCCACCCTCTACTCTGAAATACCACATCCACCACCACCAAGAAGTTGCCAAGGGCTTGGGGGAACATTCAACCTGTCGGTGAGTTTGGGCAGCTCAGGCAAACCATCGACCGTTGAGTGGACCCCGAGGCCTGGAACTGCCGTCCACCCATCACAACCCCCACCTTCCAGATCTGGGGCGATGGGTCCTACCTGATCACATCCCCTCATTTAGGCCACAGGGAAAGTCACAATCAACATTCATTGTTGTCGGTGGGTTGTGAGGACGGAGGCCAGACCCACCGAGGGATGAATGTCACTGTGGCTGGGCAACACACAGCCTGAGGGGAGTGGGCTGGGGGACAAGACCCACCATGGATTCCCCCCCAAATTCCTCAGCCTGTCCCTTGCCCTGATCCCTGCCTCTCACCGCTTCGGGAGGGCTGTGTCTGGGATCCTGATGGACATAGCTGGATTTGGGAAAGAAATCCTGGATGGTTGGGGGGCTGGGCAGCTGAAAACTCCTTCTGAAGGGGGGTGGTGAGCTCTGCAACCTGAAGGTTCCATAAATATTTCTTGAATGAATGAATAATGGTGCCCTCTTCTCTGTGTCCTAGTCCTGGGCTCAGCTTTCTCACTCTTATTGCCCAGACACTCCATTGCCCACTTAGCACCTAGATGCTGGCTGATCACTCCACCTGCATGTCTGTGCCCCACCTAGGTGACTCCTGGGCATGCTCCACTGTCCTGAGACTGAGCTGAGGTCTCATTTGTGGGAGGGAGGATTGAGGCTCTAGTGATGGCTGAGGGTCCTTCCATTAGCCCAACGTGTGCTTCTGTTCTCCCCAACCTCCCCATTTTACCCCCTCATCACCCCAGGGATAGAACAGGCTGCCTGGCCAGCACCTAGCCTTGGGGACTCCAGTAACTGGAAGGGGAAGGCAGACTTTTGTGTTAGTCTTTGTGAATAACCCTAGGGGCAGGTGGCTTCATACTTCAGTTTGTTCATCCATTAAGTGGGGGTTCCACTGAGACAATGGTGTGAAAGCACCATAAGGGATACCAGAATTGGGAGTCTTGGTCCCATGAGCCAGGTACCATCCCCCTTTCAGAGACAGCTGGAGAATCTGCAGTTACCCCCTCCCCAAAAGGCCCAGGGGCACCTGGCCCTTCCCCCAGACCAGGGGAAGGAAGCAAGCAGTTACTAAGTTACAGGTTACATCAATGCTTGTCTTGAGGGTGGGTCTTCCAACCCCCATCCACCCACCCACCCAAAACCCTGTGGGGCAGGGTGGCAGGCTTCCTCCAAGGAGGGGGGGGGTAGCCCTCCCAATGTCCTCTGCTTGGGGTGTGTGGCTCCACATTGTGGGTGCCCCTTGCAGACTGTCCTGTCACCCCCCCCTTGCCCCACTCAGAGACCATACATTTCCTTGGCAGGTGCATTTACAGGGAGGAGCAGCAAGCCCCCCTATGACAATAAGGAATCTCCCACAGGCTATTCCTCCCCCTTCACAACCCTTGGAGGTATAAGGAGGGAACTGACAGCCCAGACTCCTAGGCTCCAGAGAGGGGAGGGGAGGGGCAGGGAGGAAGGGGAGAAGGAGAGCTTGTGGCAGGCAGGATTTCTTTTCTCTCTGCCCCTCCACCTGGCACACGTTGCCCAGCCATGGGGACCTTTGACCTGTGGACAGATTACCTGGGTTTGGCACGTCTGGTGGGGGCTCTGCGTGGGGAAGAAGAACCTGACAACAGGCTGGACCCCCAGCCAGAACCAGCACCAGGACTGGGGGATCAGAGGTCCAGCCCGGAATCCTCACCAGCTCCAGAACGCCTCTGCTCTTTCTGCAAGCACAATGGCGAGTCCCGGGCCATCTACCAATCCCATGTGCTCAAGGACGAGGCAGGCCGAGTGCTGTGCCCCATCCTTCGAGATTACGTATGCCCCCAGTGCGGTGCCACTCGAGATCGTGCCCACACCCGCCGATTCTGCCCACTCACTGGCCAAGGCTACACCTCTGTCTACAGCTATACCACCCGCAACTCAGCAGGCAAGAAGATGGCCCGACCTGACAAGGCGAGGACACAGGACTCCAGTCAACGCAGAGGAGGAGGAGCCAGTGCAGGTGGCTGGGGAAATCAGCTGTGGAGGGGGGCCTGCCTTTGTTAAGAGGGATTAACTCCAGTACCCACTTCATGGGGTGAGGGTAGAGAATCTGTGTAGAAACCTTAAAACAGTATTCTAGAAGTGTTGTACAATGTGGGTCACTGGGGCTTGACTTTGCTCTGATCTTGGACAAGAGACTCTCTCTGGGCCCTTGGGGGGAAATGCCATCCTTTTCCAGGCACAGGTGACCTGACATGAAAGCCACAGGGATTAGCAAGCAGTGGGAGCTGGGGACAGGTACAGCAGGGGCTTGACACTGCTTGGCACTGAGGAGCTTTGTGGCCTGAGAGGAGTTTAGACTCTCTGAACCCCAGCTGCCTTATTTCTTTCTTTAAAAAAATTTTTTTTCTTTATTGATTTTGGAGAGGGAGAGATATAGAATCATCAATGAGAGAGAACATCTACTGGCCACCTCCTGCATGCTCCTCACTGGGGCACAGCACTTGGCCTGCCTCGTCCTTGAGCACATGGGATTGGTAGATTGGCATGTGCCCTGGCCAGACTGAATCGAACCATTGACCTCTTGGTGTGTGGGTCAAAGCTCAACCACTGAGCTATACCGGCCGGGCACAACTGCCTTATTTCTTTTTGTTTGTTTTTTTAAGAGATTTCATTTAATTAATTAATTAATTAATTTATTTATTTATTTTCTCCTCACCAGAGGACATTTTTCCTCAGATAGAGTGGAAAGGATGGAGGGAGGGAGAAAGAGAGAGAGAAAGAAACATAAATGTGAAAGGGACACATTGAGTGGCTGCCTCCCGTACAATCCCAACCGGGGCCAGAGACAAACTGCAACTGAGGTACGTTCCCCTAGCGGAAACCGAACCCAGATCTCTCTGGACCGCGGGCCGATGCTCTAACCACTGAGCAAAACCGGCCAGGGCAACTGCCTTATTTCTTTACTCATTTTCTAATAGGTTGTGTGCCCATTCTGTGCCAAGTACTGGGCTAGGCCAGTGGTAGACCAGGTAGATGGAAGAGCAGCAGTTAAAACACATGGTGATGGATGCTGAATTGGGTGAGTTAAAGAAAGCATCTGATTCAGATAAAGGGATTCTGGAGGGCTTCCTGGAGGAAGTGACTTCAGGAAGCTAATTCAGTTTGGTGGAGAATTGGAAGTGAGGCCCAGGCATTGGCGCTTGTTCAGGAACTTAGGGATGGAGTGTGTGTGCTTGTATGGTGGAGGGGAGGTATCAGAGATTTGGGGACAGCTAAAGGGCCTATAGGTCCTTATGGGTCACGTTAAAGAGTTTGGACTTGGGCAGTAGGGAGCCACAGAAGTGGCATGACCAATTTTACATGTTGAGTGTGTTAGATTGTGGCTAAGTGGCTGGACCATGGAGGAGGGTGGATTTGAGAGTGTTGGAAGAGGCTGGTTCTCCAAGCAGAGGTGTTCAAGGCAGGTAGGAGGGAATGGCCCAGTGCCCAGGGAAATGTCAGGTTGGAGCGGAGTCCCATGAGGCTAGTTCTCCAGGCAGAGGTGTCCAAGGCAGGTAGGAGGGAATGGCCCAGTGCCCAGAGAAATGTCAGGTTGGAGCAGAGTCCCATGAGTTTGCTGTGTGGGGAGCAGTCCAGTAAGAGCATCTGGAGCTGGAGCTTAGGAGAGAGCTGCAGCTGGAGCCTCCCTGAGGTCTAAATCCACACTCCTCACCTGCACAACTCACCACTCCGATCAAATGTGGGTTTCAATTTTGCAGGTTTTGTTTGGGTGAGGCCTGAACACCTGCATTTCTAACCAGCTCCCCGTGAGACTGCCATGATGCCAGGCCACAGAACATGCAGGCTTTTGAGTAGTTTGGGCTTAAATGGCAGCAGTTATTATTATAGATGCAAAAGACCTCAGCTCCTGTGGGGTTTTAAAGGACAAATCCATTTTAGCGACTTTATGGGGTAGTCAGCCAACGGAGGAGGGTTTTTGTTTTTTGGGGTTTTTTTACTTACTGATTTGAGACACACAGAGAGAAATATCAATGTGAAAGAAATGAGGATCGAACCCACAACCTGGGTATGTGCCCTGACCAGGAACCGAACCCACCACCCTTTGGTGTATGTGATGATGAGCCATACTGGCCAGGACAGAGGAGGGGGTTCTCAGGGGGCAGTGTCCCTATTTGGGTACTGTGTCTGGGTACCACCTTCCATCAGACTGTGAGCCACCTGAGTGTGAGTCTGGAGGAGAACCCCACCCTGCCCCTGCAGGCTCCAAGTGAACATTTGCTAAGAGTGAGAGACTGCCTCCAGGAAAAGATAGTATTCCTGTGAGGTTTGGTGAGGTCCAACTTGGAGACACAGGAAGCTGAGGGGACACATAGAGATGATGGTCTTAGAATCTTCCTTTTCCCCCTTAATTCTGAGGGAGCAGGAAAACTCACCTCTCAGGGTATGGAGTGAAGGGTGAGGCAGCCCTCCCTTGGCACAGAAGGGCTGCCTGAAGCCGGCCTCGTGGTAATACTCTTAAATATCGCAAACCCGGGGTCCCCCGAGCCCTACGGCCACGAGGGGGCAGCACCACAGGGCAGAGTTGGAGTTTTTGCACTCTGACTCGTTCTGCGTCTCCCCTGGGACTTGCCATGGTCGAGGCATGTGACTTGGGTGCTATTCCACAAGCAGCCTCAGGGTGGCGCCAGCGCCCAGACAGACCTGCAGGTTGAACTGGTACTTTGGCAGCATGAATCATCAGCTACTATTGTTTTTATCCTACCCCCTCTCTACTTTTAAACCCAGGTTCCAAAGGTGCCAGGAAGTCTTCTGGACCTTCACCCTCTTCCTTCTGCCCCTCCACTTCTGCCTAGGAGGCAGGTATGGGAAGGATGTCCAGGATCCTGCCTTCACCTGGCCTGGGGAACCTGACTCCTTGAAGGCTGGATTTCAGGGAAGATGCATCTGGCAAGGATCCTCCCCTGAACGCTTCCCCCAGCCTTGGGTAAACAGCGCCTGGAAAAACTACCAAAAGAGCACTTTTGAGGAATGCAGTGGTCCCGAGACACCCTTGTCCTCCCTCCCCAACACGGGGCACCCAATCAGAGCTGAAATAAATGCTATGAATAGATCAGTGGTCAGATGAGGCTGGTTTTGAGACACTGGAGCAGGAACAGCTTTGAGAGGCTAGGGGCACCTCTTTTCTCTCCTGGCTGTGTTAGCCCACACATGTTCCTCTGATTCCCACTTCCCCAACGTTTGCTTAGATTTCAGTTCACCCTGAGGCTCTGGGATGAGCTGAGGAATGGGAGTGGGCACCACTGGGTGGCTGGGGGGCTTTGTGCCCTTTCCTAGCATTTCTGGGCACAGAGTGGCACATTAGGCACTTTCTCTGACATTTGGTGTTTTCAAATTCCCTTTCTGCCACCCCTCACATATTGACATGTCAAATAGTTGGAATCTTCCACGCTGGGGCTAGGGGCCTGATTTGAGGGGGGAAATGGAGAGACATTTAGACCAAGCCTCCCTCCCCCACTGTCCTACCAAAGAGGCTCTCCGTGAATATTTACATCACACCACAATGTCCCAGTGACTTGGGGCCTTGGAGTCAACGTGCTAGGCCCTTGGGGGGAGGGGGCAAGGAATGGGACTATGTTGACTGTTACTGGTGTGTGTGGGTGTATGTGGGGGGGTTAGCCAGCCCAAGCCTATGAAGGCAATTTGGGTCTGCTTGGGCAAAAGTGTGAGGGAGATATAGAGCCTTCCCCACTCAGGAATTGTGATCCAGTTGTGGGGGAGCTGCGCTCAGGGAAAACCCATTCCTGTCTTGTATCCTCCTTCACCAGAGCTTCTTTCCCTGGCCTCCAGGGGGCAGCAGGTGGCAAGTGTCCATCCACATTTCTTCTCTAAGCCAAGGGCTCGCTTCCATCCCCAACCCCACACAGTCTACAGGTAGAGTGGAGGCAGGATTTGGACTTTGCATGTTCCCTCTGCCCTTGAACTGGGACCGGAGACCACCCAGGAGGAGAGCCAGGGATGGGAGCTTTCCCTTGAAGACAGCTTGCTGTCTAGGCTTGGAGAGGGAGGGAGGAGGACAAAGAAAACACCGAGGGGTGCCCCCAAGCATCTTCAGATTGAGTTGGGGACATAATATCCCAGCCGCTGAAAACTGCTAAGGGCATAAGCCAGAGCTTCTGGGGCTCAGACCCGAAGGGCTGGACAAACTGGCATGTCCTGGTGGGTCAAAGAAGGAGAGGGGGGCAGGAGAGCCTGCTCTGACTTGCTCCCCTCCCAAATGGAGTCTTGCAGGGTGCCATAACCCTAGGAGTTTGTTTGGGTGTGGTAGCCACAGGCTGGCCCTGGTCGGTTTGACTCAGCTGTTAGCGTGTCAGCCCACAGACCCATGAGTCTTGGGTTCAATTCGGTCAAGAGCATGTACCTCGATTGTGGTTTGTCCCTGGCCCTAGTCATGGTCGTGTGGGAGGCAACCAGTCAGTGTGTCCCTTTCATGTTGATGTCTCTCCCTTTTTCGGTGTCTCCCTCTCTCCCACTCTATCTGATGATAAAGAGAAAAATATCCTCGGGTGAGGATTAAAAGTGGGGGGCAGGTCTGGTCCATCTGGTGGAGACCAATTTAACAGAAGCATCTATTTCTGTAAAATGGGTTTGTTGACAGCACCTGGGGCTGCTTCTGGTGCCACCATGGGACTGTGGTCAGGCTTGTTGGGTGTGAGGTATGCAGTGACCACCCTTGGCATCCTGTCTGAATCAATAACAACACACACACACCTGCTCAGGACTGCCTCTTTGTAGGCTGGGACTTCAAAAAGCAGCTTGTCCCACAGGTGACAGGGCCACTGAACGCTGAAAAGAAACTCCAGGTGAGTCCTGTGGCTTCACAACCTCACAGATGCTGGTGTGTGTGCCTGAACGGGTGCATACAGCCCTGTGCTCCTGGGGAATCCTACACACTTGGGAACTTGTAGGGACCCCCTGACCTGTGTCCCAGCAGTAGCCCTACTTGCCTGCCTAGGAAGGATGAGAAGTGAAAGGAGAAAGGGGTGGTTGCGGGGGGGTGGAAGTTTGTGGGTGGAACATCAAGGAACCCAAATGCTTCAACCCCCAAACAGCAGGTCCTGGGGCCTTGCTAGGAAATCATTTATTAATGTTCTTCCTGAAATAAATAAAATGGAAATCAGGAGAAACACAAATGTACAACCAACAAAGGGAGCCCTTTTTCCTCCAGGAAAGAAACAAATTCTGAACCTGCCATATACATGACCCAAAGAGCCAAAATTTGCAAACCCAGGTAAGTATCTGGGTGGCTCTGGGCCCTGACCCTGGGGCCCAGCCCGCTTCCACCTCCTACTGCAACCTCAGCCTCTGGAGGAGCAGGTTCCCTCCCCCACAGACTCCAGAGGAAGACTGTTGACTCCAATGGAGTCTCCAGGGCTTCCCTGGGTAGGTGGACTTCCAGGTCAGCTGAAGGGCAGTTTCTCTGGCCCACTAGGACCTGCTGAAGCATCTTGGAGTTAATGAAATACCAAGAGCAACATCAGGGCTGGAAAGCTTCCCTGGGTCTGCAGAGGGATCGCTGCCAGCTTTATAGCAGGAACATCAGGCACTTCTGGGGACCAGGGTTTGAACAAAACATAGACACATCCATGGGAGGGATAGGCACCGCATACACAGTCCCCCAGCTTCCCCATTTGGAAATATCTACAAATCCCTCCAGGATTGCTCCCCTCGAGGGAGAGTCCCAGGCCCCTTTGATGTATAGAGCTTGGGGGCTTTCCCTACAGGCTTTGCCTTCCGGTAGTTGAGGCGCTTGAATGCTTCCAGGTCCCGGTGGGCATTCATGATCAGCCGGCTGCACGAAAATGTTGGTAGTGACTATGAGCTGAAGCAGGATGCACCCCATGCTCCTGCTCACACATTCCCACGCCGGTTCACACTCATGCACACGCACAGGCCACACACACACACGGGCTCACACACTCAAGGCACATTCACACAGACACACATGCACAATCATCAAAATCAACCTGTTACAGAGTAGACTACTGACTGTCCCAGCTCCTCTCCAGAACCTAACAATGCTGTAAGGATGGGTCTATGACATAATAGGTGAAGGCCCAGGTGGAGTGACACTTTCTGGAGGCCCTTTGCTGGGTGGCCTGGGCTGCTGTGGGGGCCTCCTTCTCGCTGCCCCACCAGTTTCCCCCAACCCAATCTTCCCTGGGCCCCATCCCACTGCCAGTCCTGTCCTCCCTTATGGATCCAAGCCCAACTCTTACTTCAGGTTAGAGAGCTCAATAATGAGGCCACGCACAGTATCTGTAGCATCTTCCATCCTGGTGGCTTCACAGGGCTTGATCCCCTTATGGATGCTGGAGGGAGGGGAAGACAAGAGGGACCTCAGCGGACAAGTCCACTAAACACCATTCTGGGGGGCTCTGGCTGGGCCTTCAGCAGTCTGCTTTTCCAGATATTAAGCTACCATGGGCAGAGCTCAGATGGCCAACCCAGCTGGATCGACTGCCAAAAAGCACACCCAGAATCCAGCCACTTCCCACCAGAGGTTGCCCAGACACCCAGCTTCTGCCCCTACAGCTTGTCCCCCATGCAGCATGGGGTGGAGGGCTGTGAAAATTGAAGCCTGGCTTACTGCACCATCTGCTGGCACCTTCAAGACCCCATCTCTTCCCTCTTGGTCCCCTCCCCACTGCTCCTGTCACACTGAATCTCTGGCCTTTCCATGAGCACCTCTTAGGGTTCTAGGATGTTCTCTCCCAATGTCTCCTCCTTGGGGGTAGGAGGACTGGACTTCCTGATCACTGAGTTAAAATATTAACCCTCATGCCCTGGCCGGTTTGGCTCAGCTGTTAGAGCATCAGCTCGTGGACCAGAGAGTCCTGGGTTCGGTACCTGCTAAGGGCAAGTACCTCGATTGCAGTTTGTCCCTGGCCCCGGTTGGGGTTGTGTGGGTAGCAGCCAGTCGACATCTCTCTCATGTCCATGTTTCTCTCTTTTCCTCTCTCTCTCTTCCTCCCTCTCTCCCTCCTGCTCTATCTGAAGGTAAATGCAAAACTGTCCTCCAGTGAGGATAAAAAATAAATGTTAACCCTTTCCCCACTACCTTTTTCTCCCCAACACTCTGCCATCTGATTATCTAATTGTCTCTCACCCTGCCTGCCCCACCTAACATACACTAGATTGTAGCTTCGTGTTTTGTCCTGTCCCATGCTGCATGCCCAGTACCCAGGGCAGTTCCTGGCAGAGCCAGCACTGGATGGCGTTAACCTCTATGGGAGAGGTGGAGGTGCCACAGCACCCGCTGTATCTAACGTGTGGCCTGCAGGTGCTGACAGAGGCTCATCTTCCTGGCCTCTAGTCAACAGCTCTCCCTAAATTCTATCACACCCTGGGCTTGGCAGCACCTCCTAGGCTGTCACTACGGAATCTCTGTTCTGCTCCACCTGCCAAGGTCACCCAAGATGGCCAGCTGACCCCAGCCTTAGCTTCTTTTGTCTTATTCACTGTGGGCCATCAACCCCTGGACCTGCACTGGAGGTCATCCAGATGTCCATGTTGGGTCACATCAGCCCAGTGAGGAGGATATCAGAGATTCAGACACGATTTTCCCTCTTTGTTCAAACAACAGGGGGTGGGGGGGCACTATAACTGTTTCTGGTCCTTGTGCAGGGTGTGTGTGTGTGTATGTGCATGCACACACAAGTGGACCAGGTACTAGTGACAGAACTTGTGCAAGGGAAGGCAAAAACACGCCATTTTATAGCATGAGGAGGAGGAGGACAAGAAACAGAAAAACTCGCCAAGGGCTGCACCTCTAGCCCTTGCTAGACAGAAACAGAAACTTGGCCATAAATAATTGATACGGTACAGCCTCTGCAGAGAGGCCTGTTCAAGTGTGAGGTAACAGGAGAGGATGGTCACCTATGCTTGCCCCTGGCAGGGCTGGGAGAAAGGACAGGAAAGAGATGGCAGACTCTGAGAGGCTTTGGAATAAGGGGAGAGGACACCCCCGCCCCCCCCCACACTTGGGTGGAGGGACAGTGTACCTGATGGTCTGCCCTGGGGCACAGAGTCAAGTGGGAACTGAGGAGATAAGCCAATCAGAGACCCTGGAGGGCCCACCCTGTGCCAGAACTGGGACTGCCCACGATCAGCTTGGTCAGTGTTTCTCAGCTGTCCCAGTGAGGAAATTCAGAGAAATTTCTGGATCCTCTCTCCAGAAAAATGCTCATCACTGAATTCAAACAATCCACAGAACCAGGGGTACCACCCCAGGGCTCCTGAGGAGAGATGCTTATTTGGGTGCAGATGACTAGTGACCAGTTCTCCACATGCAGGGAGCCAGGGGCACGTGCCGTTCGAAGGACAGGGCTCATCCCCCTTACTGGACTGAGGAAAGCGAGGCCCAGTGAGGAAGAACCAGGGCCCCCTCATCCCTCTCCTCAGCAAAACGAGAGTTCACAGGGCTGGGGGTACAGACAGCATGGAAGACAGCATGGAAGCTCCAGTTTTGGAAAAGCAGTGACACTCCCCTCTGAAGGGAGGACTCATACCAAGGTGAAGGTCCTGGGGCAGCCTCCCACCTGGCCTACCTTGGCTGAGCCTTGGTGAGGGGACCTCCATCAGTACTGAGGCTGGTGCCAGGCCAGTAAGGGCCCACTCTGCTCCCTGCAGGAAACAACTGGAAAGACAGAGCACATGTGTGAACAGTTAGCTGGGTGAGCCCTGCACAGGGAAGGAAAGAAAAGTCACACAGGAAATGTCTCACTTCCCCTTGGTCACACCAGGAACACTGAGGCTGGAACTCCTACAGAGAAAAAGTAATGGTTACACTGGGGGACCACCAGCCTGGGCTGCTCTTGCCCTCCCCATTCAGGAGAGACGACAGGGTAACTACTGGGCCTGACCCTGCTGTCCTCTCCTGGGCCTGCCCCTTCCAACAAGCTGGTCTACGCCTGGGCCTGGATCTAGCCACACGTTCTCTGTTCCTGACAGCTGAGGTGTAGCCCTGTCTCCTGTGCATCCTGCAGCATCTAGAAGGGTACAGAGACCCCTAGGGGTGGCGAGTGTAGCAAAGTGGACATCGGTGTCAAGGGGAAGAGGTCTGCCAGAGAAGCCACACATTTTATGTCAGGAAAAAATTTTGCAAATATATATCAAAGGAAAAATTCATAATTAATAGGGGAGAGAGCCAGATAACCCTGAAAAGCTTAAGTCTCTACACGTCAACAGTGGTTCAGTTTTTGTGGCTCAATCACAGAGGTGATATACATCCCATGGAAAGAGGAAGAGGCTGAAAGGGAGGCAGCCTGCCCAGGGCCTCTTCTAAGGAGACCAATGTCTTAGGGTTGGAAAGAGGCCTATTCTAGGGACGTACTCTGCCTTGATGGGGTAGGGGGTGGGGTGAAGGGTTAAACTATACTAGCAAAGAGGTACCTAAACCACATGAAAAACTGCCTGTAGCCTAGCGGTTCTTACCTGGGGATGACTCCATCCCCAGGAGACACTTCACAATGTCTGGAGACATTTTTGGTTGTCACAACTGGGGAGAAAAATGCTACGAGCATCTATCTGGTGGGTGGAGGCCAGAGATGCTGCTCAACACGTTCCAGTGCACAGGACGCCCCAGCACAGAACAATGTGACCCTGGATGCCAGCAGTGCCAGCTGGGGCCTCTAGACAGTACAGTCTCCAGCATCTGGCTATTTCATGTAGGCAACTCAGACTTAAAATACAATCAGCGTCACATATTCACCAAACTCACTGCACTGTTTTTGGCCATAAGGAATATTCTCTCTGCCACCAGGACTATGTAAATGTTTGTCACTACAGAGGTGGCACTGAACGTGCCAGGGTCAGAGCTGTAGGCCCCTGAAAGGGGCCTGGGGATCAACTTTTTAAATGATGCTCCTTAAGCAGTGCATGGAGGATCCACCAGCTCTGGGGTGAGTATCATATCCCAAGCAAGCTGTTTTGAGAAGAAAACACTGATTTTCCTGTGAGGGAACCTGGGTTTGAAATGGATCAGTCACCGATGTGTAACCTGTGTCTCCAAGTGGCTGCTGACGGTTGTGCCTGGTGAGGTTGAGGGCCCGTCAGTGGGAGGCAGTGCTGCTGCCCCCATCCGTCTGTGCTCTGTTCCCAAGTGTCCCTGCTCACTTGGCCTTTCCTCCAAGGGCCATCAAGATTCTTCCCATGAGAATCTGCTTGTGCTTGTGTCACTCCGACTTGTTCAGGAACGCCCGATATCAAAATAAAACTTGTCGGGGCGTTGGCATCCTTGTCAAGGCAGTGCCTGTCTCCGGGGAGCCTGTTAGATCTGACCACCTGGCTGTCTGCCCAGGTCCCCTGCACTGCTGATTCCCCACGTTTTCCAAGCACGGAGTCACTTGCAGCCTGTCCAGAAGGGCTTGCTCTTTTGCCTGCTGGATGCCACTGAATGTCACAACTGCTTCCCCAGCCTTCTCCCTTAGCCACTGCCCAAGAGGCCAGGGACTGGTAGTAACTGAGATGGCATTTCTGTCCAAGTGAGGAGTTTGCATTTTTCAAGAAATGAGGCTCCAATTCTAAAATTTCAGCTGTTCCCAGTACCTGAACACCTACCTATCCAGGCGATCGTGTTCTAACTCTGCACTGTGACCTACTTTCCATGATCTCGCTCGTCTGGTGAGCATGAAACAGGTGCACGAGGAGCCAGAGCCTGCATAGGGCAGGAAGGGCCAGGTCTGAAATCACCTCATAGGTGAATATTGCGGGGGGCCAAAAATTACCTCTGGCCTTGCCCTGGGAAGGCAGTACAGCGGAGACCCACGTTCACTCAGCCCAGCCATGTTCCCCTCACACTCAGAACAGCTGGCACCAGATGAGTTCCTGTGCTTATGCTTTGGAGCTGTCACATGAAGACTCTTTAAGTTTTGAAAAGATAAGGTACAAAAATGCTCACTCTGGGAGAGGCAGGCAGGAACAGTCCTACCAAAAACCCCAGGGGGGGCTGGGACCACCATGCCTGATGCTTTCACACCTGGCACAAGCAGGCTCTTGCAAAGCATATATTGAATAAGTTAAAAAACAACAACATCTTAACAGGGACGGCTGAAAAAACAGGCCAACGTTTGTAAAGAGAGTTGTGCTCGCCCTGGCCAGTTTGGCTCAGCGGTTGGAGGGTTTGCCTGCAGACCAGAAGAGTCCCAGGTTCAGTTCCTGCTAGAGTCACGTACCAAAAAAAAAAAGAGACAGTTGGGCTCCACATTTTGGGGTGGGGTGGCTGAGGTACAGCTATAGAATCAGGACAATCTGGACGCAGACCCAGCCTCCTCCCCTCCTGCCTGTCACCCCTGGCAGCTGCCCAACCTCCTTCAGCCTGTCTTCCTCACCCAGTGTGTGGAAAGGGAACTGAGAACCACCTACCTCCCAGAGCGCCACTGCAAAGCACTTAGCCCAGGCGCAGGTGTGCCTCCAGCCAGGGACATGGAGCCTCCCCTGGGAGCGGGGCTGACAGGTGAATGCCATGGCTGGCAGAGGCTTACTGGGCAACTTTCCCACTGCCTGTCAGGCAGGCAGCTCCCTGCAGGAAACAAAGTTCCTACAAATTCCAGCAGAAAAACAAAATTCCATACATATTTGGGATAAGACCCTCATAGAAAAGCAGGTCTTTCCTTTCTGGAAAATCAGACTACACACCCACTGAAACTGCAATTCAGATCCCTTCATCTGCCATATAAACCATACACCCCACCTTCCCCCACTGGGCAGTTTGGACAAGGGCCGGTGGACACTGGCACCTGCCTTGGGATGGTCTGGCTGTAACTTAAGGAAGCTCTTACCTGCTCAGGTGAGACTTCAAAGTTGGAGGCTTCCAGGACATCCTGTATTTGGCTGTCTGGCAGGAAGTCGAGTTCCATGTCTGGGGACTCCCCCAACATGGCCTGGTTTGCAGTGTCAGGAGGGTGCTTGGGCTGCCCTGCTGGGTCTGCAGAGGTGTCTGGGCTGCCCTGGTGGGCTCCGGCATCCCGGAGAGGACCAACCACTGCTTCTCTGCGAGAAGCAGAAGCTCCAAGGGACGGACTGAGCCTCCCGAGGTCTTGTTCATGGCTCTGGCTACCTAATTCGGCTGCCTTTTCACCTGAGGACTGTGACAACAAAGGCAGCGCACACACACCTCCCAGCCCATTCAGGTCTGGGCCTGGCACCTGTGTCTGATCCACAACTGGGTTCATTTCTGACACTACAGGACTGGAATCTCCAGCACCTATTGTGGGCTCTTGGATCCCATGAGCCAGAGCCAGGTAGGTTGCAGGGCCCTCCAGGACATCACCAAGGGGCTCAGCTTCCCACCCTGCCTCCCCACTGCCTCCTGTGGTCTCCCCAGTGAGATAGGTGCCTCTGAGCAGGGTCCCACTATGGCCTCCATCAGGGGCCTTCCCACTGGGAGAGGCAGGTGTCCCGGTGTTAGCCTTCCCATCTAACACAGCCACCTCCAAAGCCTTCTGTTCTGGCTTGGTGGGGTCTGTGATCACATCTGTGATGACAATGATCCTATGAGAGTATATTGGGCTACTACAGCTCCCTTCTGCTTCCCTGCCAACCCTGCTGAGTGTCTGCATGGGGTCAGGTGGGGCCTGGGCTGCAGATCCAGGCTCTGAGCCCCGAGTGGCCAGGCCCAGGACACTGTCTCCTTTCTCCTGGCTATCCCCTGCTCCCCCTTGGGCACCTTCCCCCTGTGGGGCTCCTCGGTCTGGCTCCTTCTCTTCGGCACCACTGCTCAGCAGAGGCCCTTTCTGGCCATGATCACCTGGACCCCCACCCCACTCTGTGCATCCAGTGTCTGGCGGGTTGATCTCTTGCTCCAATAGATAGTTCTGGCTGGTGCTCTCTGAAGCCAAGGGCACCATCCCCCATACTAGACAAACATCATTGGAGACCTCAGGCTGAGAATCTCCCCTGCTGGACATAGGTGTTACAGGGTTCTGGATCCTGTGCTCAGAGCAGGTGCCATCTGCCTGGGTCCGGTCTCCTGGCACGCTGGCCTCCCAGACAGTGAGCTCTGGGGATTCCTCCCATGACTGGCTTTCTGCCTGCTGGGCACTGGGCTCTGGTGGTGTTTCCTGTGTAGAGAGAAAGACTCAGCCTCAGGCCTTCAATAATAACTACTCTGAAGATATTTCTAGATGTTATTGCCCCTGTGCAAAGTCTCAGATGCTGTGTGGACGACTGAAAGGTTTAGTAGAGTGGTCCCCCCTTATCTGTGGGGGATGCATTCCAAGACCCCCAGTGGTTGCCAGAAACCGAAGATAGTACCAAACCCTATACATACTGTTTTTTCCTATACATACCTATGATAAAGTTTAATTTTTAAATTAGGCACAAGAGATTAACAAAAATAATTAATAATAAAATAGGACAATTATAACAGTATACTATAATAAAAGTTATGTGAATGGCTCTGGGGCCATTACTGAATAAAATAAGGGTTACTTGAATACAAGCGTTGTGATACCACAGCAGTCAATCTGATAACCAACAGGGCTACCCAGTGACTAATGGGAGGGGAGTACATGCAGGGTGGGGCCACCGGACAAAGGGATGATTCATGTCCCAGGCAGGATGGCATGAGATTTCATCACACTACTCAGAATGGCACACAATTTGAAACTTATGAAGTGGTTATTTCTGGAATTTTCTATTTAATATTTTTGGACAGTGGCTGACCACAGGTAACTAACACCACGGAAAGTAAAAGCATGGATAAGGCCCTGGCTGGTTTGGCTCAGCGGTTACAGCGTTGGCCCATGGACCAGAGAGTCCCAGGTTTGATTCCCGCTAAGGGCATGTACCTCGATTGCAGTTTGGGGTCTTGTGGGTGGCAACCACTCGATGTGTCCCTCTCACATCAATGTTTCTTTCTCTCTTCCTCCCCCTCTCCCCATCCTGCTCTGACTAAAGATAAATGCAAAAAAAAAAATGTCCTTGGGTGAGGATTAAAAGAAAAAAAGCATGAATAAGGAGGGACTACTGCACTAACACAGGGCAGAGCTTTGTGCCAGGGGCTAGAGGGGGAACCAGAAGCACAGGAATCCTTCCTTGCAACAGCTCCTTCTCCCCACCAGCACCAGGCATGTGGAGATAGGGATATAAAAATCAAGGGAGTTGCCCAGCCAGTGTGGCTCAGTGGTTGAGCGTCCACCCTATGCACCAAGAGGTTGCTGGTTCAATTCCCAGTCAGGGCACATGTCAAGGTTGTGGGCCTGATACCCAGTGGGGGTCATGCAGGAGGCGGCCAATCAATGTTCTATCTCATTGATATCTCTATCTCTCTCCCTCTCCCTTCCTCTCTCTCTAAAATCAATAAAGAAAAATTATTTTTAAAAAAATAAATAAAAAGATATAAAAAAAAGAAAAAAGAAAAGATTCCCGACACTGCCATTTGCAGCCACATGCACCTCTCTCCCATGTTCCACACCCCATCTCCAACCTCTGGCAACCACTAGTACACCCAACATGTCTATGAACATGGTTTGTTCAACCATTCACCAATTGAAAGATATCAAGGGTGTTCCCAACTAGGGGTGATTATAAACACTGCTGCTGGTCATTCCCACCACTCACTTTTTTAGGGGCGCATGTTACCAGACATTGTCAGCCTGGAGGTCACAGTGGCAAGGGCAAGAGAGCACACTGTAAGAGCCCCCACAGCCCCAACTTACACAAAAACTTCTGAGAAGCAAAGGAGATCAAGGGACAGAACGTGGACTGCCTTTCTGAGTTTTCTTTTTTTTCAGTCCTCACCTGAGGATATGATTTTACTGATTTTTAGAGAGAGAAAGAGGGCGAGAGAGAGAAAAAAAACATTGATGTGAGAAACAGTGATCAGTTGCCTCCTGCATGTGCCCCAACTGGGGATCAAACCCATAACCTCTTGGTGTTCAGGATGATGATCCAACCAACTGAGCAACCTGGTCAGGGCTGCCTTTCTGAGTTTTCTAAATCTCATGCAATGTGGGCAAGAGGGCTCTGGCCTCCAGTGCTTTGGTATAGGCACAGCTGTCCTGAGTGCCTCTCACAGGCCCAGAGCTGCCTGAATAGTGTCTGCAGAGACATCTGTAGTGCAATGAGCTGAAAATGGGGTATGGAGAGGTGCGGATTTAGCCACTGCCAAAGAAAACCAATGTTAAACTTAGCTGCCAAGGCTGGGCCAAGAAGCTGCCCATCTATGGGGCTCAGCTTGCTAATTGAAGGGTCTTACCAAGCTAAAGGCCCCACTCCCGAGGTCCTCTTCCCTTGTAGCTGCTAGTCTTGTCATTGCCTTCTTGGGTTTTGCAAACTGGGGGACAAACCTTCTGACTGAGTTCTGTGAACCAGATACAACAAGAACACAGTAGCATTAAATATAAGGGAGGTCTGCTCTGGCTGGTTTGACTCGGCAGATAGAGCATCGGCCTGTGGATCAGAGAGTCCAGGGTTTGGTTCCCACTAAGGGCATGTATCTTGGTTGCAGTTTATCCCCGGCCCCGATTGGGGTCGTGTGAGTGGCAGCCACTCGATGTGTCTCTCTCTCTCTTCCTCCCTCTCTCCCTCCAGCTCTATCTGAAGATAAATGCCAAAAAAAAAAAAAAAAAAGTCCTCAGGTGAAGATAAAAAATATATATATACATATACACATACATACATACATATATACATACATATGTATACATACATACATATAGATAGATATGTGTGTGTGTGTGTGTGTGTGTGTATGAGGTCTAAGAAGGAAACCAATCACCAAAATCGGTTTCTTTCTTGTAGTCTCAAACATGGCCTTTGCCCTCTATCCCCAGGGCAAACCAGCTCCCCCTCCCCCTCGTTGGCTATGAGGATGAACAGAGGCAGGAACTCCAGCCTAAGGGAGGCAGCTTCTTTTTGCACATACAGAAAGCTGCAAGACAGGCTCACCTGGGAAGGAGGAATGGGAATTGGCTCCTTTTCTGGTTGTGAGAGGAGCGTGGAGGGAGCTCCTGCTTCCTTATCCAGGGAGCTGGGTGGAGAAAGACAAAACACGAGGTTCTGGTCATCCAAGGCTTTCAATGCACCTAGTGGGACAGAGAATGAAATCCAAAGGCAAAGTAGTGCTCAGCATCTCCCACAAAGGAGGCCCTAGAGCACCTGCTGAGAGAGGGTGGGATGGAGGAGGGCAGCAGTACCCTGGGGAATATTTGATTCCAAGAAGTGTGCTGAGTTCCACATCTAGAATCCAAGCTACCTGCTGTGGCAGCACTTTACCCTATAATCCCAGAAATCATCTTCTCAAGTAAGACTAGGAATTCTTATTTGCACTGACACTCCTGCCCCCAACTCTGCAAATCCTAAGGAAGAGAATTTGTAGATATGAGAAACAGTGTCAAAAGAAACAGGTATATTCATACTTGCCAAAATGTGGGAGCAACTGAGATGGCCTTCAGTAGGTAAATGAATAAATAAACTGTGGTACATCCAGACAATGGAATATTATTCAGTACTAAAAAGAAATGAGCCCTGGCAGGTGGCTCAGTTAGTTGGAGTGTTTGTCCTATACACAAAAAGGTTGCAGGTTTGATTTCTGGTGAGGGCACATACCTGGGTTGCAGGTTTGATTCCCAGTTGGGAGCATACGGGAGGCAACCGATCAATGTTTCTTTTTCACATCGATGTTTCTCTCTCTCTTTCCCTTCCTCTCTAAAATCAATAAACATATTCCTAGGTGAGGATAAAAATAATAATGAATGAGCTATCAAGCCATGAAAAGACATAGAGGAATCTTAAATGCATATTACTAAGTGAAAGAAACCAATTTGAAAGGCCATGTACTGTATGATTCCAAATACATGACATTCTCGAAAAGTCAAACTATGGAGATGGTGAAAAGACCAGTGGTTGCCAGAGTAAGGGGAAGAGATGAACAGAGTACACGAGATTTTAGGGTAGTGAAAATACTCTGTATGCAACTATAATGGTGGATACATGCCATTATACATTTGCCCAAATCCATAGGATATACACCAAGAGCAAACTCTAAGGTGTTTATGGACTTTGGGTGATGATATGTCAATGTACATTCACCTTTGGTTAAAAAAATAAAAAGTACCATTCTAGTGAGTGATGGTGATAATGGGAAAGGCTATTCATGTGTAAGGGCAAGGGGTATGTGAGGAATTTCTGTCTTCCTCTTAAATTTATTGTAAACCTAAAACTGCTCTAAAAATAAAATCTTTTTTTCTTTAATCCTCACCTGAAGATTTTTTTTATTGATTTGAGAGAGAGGAAGGGGGAGAAAGAGACAGACACACAGAGAGAAAAACATCAATTGGTTGCCTCCTGTATGCACCCCGACCAAGGATTTAACCCAAACCTAGGTATGTGCCCTGACCAGGAATCAAACCCGAAACCTTTATGGTGTACAGGACAATGTTCCAACGGAGCGACCCACCAGGGCTAAAAATAAAATCTTTTTATAAACATTGGTGAGACTGTGCTTATATTATAATAAATATAGACCTGCATATTAAAAAAGAAACAACCAAAACCTGGAGCCAAAATTTCATGATTCAGCTTTGGAAGCAGAACAGGAAAAAGCATGAAGATATGCTAATGGCCTTGAATTGTGCCAGTGGAGGTTCTGGAGACAGAATAAGTCTAGATACTGATGGCAAGAGCCTGTTAAAAATTTTAATTGGGATGGGTTGTTTGGGTGGCTTCTGGGGTGCTGGCATGATTTCATTCTCAACATAACTGGGTTAAGCTTGTTTCTTTATGTTTTCTTCTGTTACATATTTCTATGCACATAGTATTTAATAAAACATTTTTTTAAAAAGGAAATAAATGGTGGGAACCTCCTTCTGGGCTTCTGCCTATTCTTTTTTTTGGTACGTGCCCCTTGTGGGAACTGAACCCAGGACTCTCTGATCTGCAGGCTGATGCTCCAACTGCTGAGCCAAACCGGTCAGAGCTCTGCCTATTCTTACGGACACAGATGGCAGAGCAGGTAGTGGCTACAACCCCATCAGCCCTGTTGGCCTCTCCAGGAGTAAGGAGCATTTTGACATTATCATACGTGGGAAAATGGCGTAGATGTGACACGTGGGCCCTCTTCATATCACACACAGAGCAAGGCTACCTTTAATCTTAAAACTTCAATGATCTGAAATCAGACACACACACACACACCCCAGAAACAATTCTGTCAGATCACATGCCTTAATATTTTACTCAGAAAATCTGGTAGTCCATTCCATGACACCTTCTCTGAAGACTTCAGGTAGCAGGAAGCTTCCTTCTCTTACTTCACACTAACCCCTTCTATTATGCTATAGTTAGTTACATGTTGTTTAACACCAGGGACAGACTGAACGCTTCTCTAGATCTTTCTTTCCCATCCCCACCCCCATACTTCATTATATATTTCCTGAAAAATAAATAAATAAATAAGGAAACTCGGGAACTATAGTGGTTAGGAGCACAGGAGCAAGGTACAGCCAGAACCCCAGCCTGCCTTGCACCAGCTCTGTAGCCTTGGGCAAGTGATTTGATCTCTCAGAGTCCTTACCTATTAAATGGGGATAAAAACCTATTTTTTAAAAATATTTTTTTCTTTATTGATTTTTACAGAGAGAGGAAAAGAGAGAGATAGAAACATCAATGAGAGAAGACATCAACTGGCCGCCTCCTGCATGTCCACCACTGGGGATCGGACCCACAACCTAGACATGTACCCTGATCGTGAATCAAACCAGTGACCTATTGGTGCATGGGTCAATGCTCAACCACTGAGCCACACTGGTCGGGCTAAAAACCTATTTCAAAGTGCTATGAGGGCCCTGGCCGGTTTTGCTCAGTGGTTAGAGTGTCGGCCTACGGACCAGAGAGGCCCAGGTTCGGTTCCTGCTAAGGGCATGTACCTCAGTTGCAGTTTGTCCAAGCCCTGATTAGGGTCATGTGGGTGGCAACCACTTGATGTGTCTCTCTGACATCGATGTTTCTCTCTCTCTCTTCCTCCCACTCTCCTTCCCGCTCTATCTGAAGATAAATGCAAAAATGTCCTTAGGTGAGGATTAAAAAAAAAAAGGTGCTGTGAGGATTAAATGAGATGATATGTGTAAATTATTTTTATTTTATTTTTAATTTTTTTTTTTTTTATCTTCACCCGAGGACATTTTTCGATATTTTGTTCAGATAGAGTGGGAGGGAGCGAGAGAGAGAGAAACATCGACGTGAAAGGGACACATAGAGTGGTTGCATTCCGCACGACCCAACCAGGGCCAGGGACAAACTGCAACCAAGGTACGTGCCCTTAGCGGGAACCGAACCCAGGTCTCTCTGGACCGCACACAGGCCAACGCTGTAACCGCTGAGCCAAACCGGCCAGGGCTGTGTAAATTTTTTTTTAAATATGTTTCTATTGATTTCAGAGAAAGGAAGGGAGAGGGAAAGAGAGCTAAAAACAGCCTCAGCCAGTTTAGCTCAGCGGTTAGTGTCAGCCTACGGTCTGAAGGGTCTCGGGTTCGAATCCGGTCAAGGGCATGTACCTGGGTTGCTGGTTCAATCCCTGGCCCCAGTCAGGGGTCATGCAGGGGGCAGCCAACCTATGTGTCTCTTTCACACTGATATTTCTCTCCCTTACTCCCTCCTTCCCTTCCACTCACTCTAAAAATCAATGGAAAAATATCCTCAGTGAGGATTAACATAAAAAAAAAAAGAGAGCCCTGGCTGGTTTGGTTCAGGGGTTGGAGAGTTGGCCTGCAGTCCAGAGAGACCCGGGTTCGTTTCCTGCTAAGAGCACATACCTCGATTGCAGTTTGTCCCCGGCACTGGTTGGGTGGGGCAGGAGGCAGCCACTCGTTGTGTCCCTTTCATGTTGATGTTTTTTTCTCTCTCTCTCCCACTCTATCTGAACGAAAAAATGTTCTCGGGTGAGGATAAAAATAAATAAATCAATAAAAAAGAGAGAGAGAGAAATGTCAACTGCCTCCTACAGGATTAAGCCCGAAACTCGGGCATGGGCCCTGACTGGAAATTGAACCAGCGACCTCCTCATGCTTAAGACAACACTCAACCAACTGAGCCACACCAGCTGGGCAGAGCTGATATGTGTATATGTATATTAGCACACTGCCTATCATATAATGATTGTTATTCTCTTTTATGGGTCACTATTTCTCATATCTACTCCTTTGATACCATTTTTTAAATATATATATATATATTTTTTATCCTCACCCGAGGACATTTTTCCATTTTTAGTTCAGATAGAGTGGGAGGGGGAGAGAGAGAGATATCGACATGAAAGGGACACATTGAGCAGCTGCCACCCGCACGGCCAGGGACCAACTGCAACCGAGGTACGTGCCCTTAGTGGGAACCAAACCTGGGTCTCTCTGGACCGCAGGCCAATGCTCTAACCGCTGAGCAAAACCAGCCAGGGCCTTTGATACCATTTTTAAAAATATGTTTTTGTTGATTTTAGAAAGAGAGAGAGGAAAGGAGAGAGAGAGAGAAATATTGATGGGCTGCCTCCTGCACACACCTACTGGGGATCGAGTCTGCAACCTGGGCATGTGCCCTGATAGAGAATTGAACTAGTGACCTCTCAGTGCATGAGATTATGTTCAACAAACTGAGCCACACTGGCCAGGGCCTTTGATATCTTTTCTTAATCAACGAATGTGGGATAAATATAAATTTGGTAAGCAGAAAGGACAAGCTACATTCTATAACTAAGTGACCTTGAAAAACAAGGTTTTTCTTGCCTGTAGCTATAACATTGACCTTTTCGATAGAGAGGAGAGTCCCAGGGAAGAAAGCATCAAGAAGCACAATCCAAGTGCTCTGAGTCTCCAGCGGGAGACATGACATTGGATGGCTCATGTTGATCCCCTCTTCTTTGCATCTTGTTCACTAGGTTGCTGTGCCCACTGTTAATGGGAAGGTGCTGGAACGTTCTGAGCCACCTACCTGGAGGCCACCTGTCCTGGTTCCTCCCCACTCTGCTCTGCAGAGGGAACAAGTCCTGACCTGCCTTCTGACTCTTCTGGGTGACACAAAGGGCCCAAATGGAAACTCTGGGGGGACCCATGAGAGTCTCTGAGCCTTGGCCGCTTTGGGGCTTTCGGTGGATGAATTCCTTCTCCTGGGAGACAAAGGGAGACAAAGGGGTAGAGGATGCCGTGAGTATGCACTTCCATGACTTACAACCAAACCTGGCAGGGCCACTGCTGCAATGTGAACAGGTTTGTTCCAAGGGCAGAACACCCCTGCTCTGACCCTTGCCTGGAAAGCGAGAGATAGAATGGAATATTATCCAGGTGGGACATAGGAGCTTATGTGGCTACCGCATTCAAAAGCTTTTTACCTATGGATTGGTCATGACTGAGGCTGAATCCTGAGGTGGACTGGCTTGGCTCCAAACCACAGAAGACAACCTGACCCAGCTGACTGTTCTTCTGGGGAAATGGTGAAAGGTGTGTACTGTTTCCTTCAGGTCTCAGCTCAAACATCCCTGTAGAGGGGCCATTCCCTGACTTTTTTTTTTTTTTTTCCATTTTTTGTACAGATAGAGTGGGATGAGAGAGAGGAAGGGAGAGAGAGAGAGAAACATCAACGTGAAGGGACACATCGAGTGGCTGCCACCCGCACAACCAACCAGGGCTGGGGACAAACTGCAACCGAAGTACGTGCCCTTAGCGGGAACCGAACCCGGGTCTCTCCGGACCGCAGGCCAACGCTCTAACCGCTGAGCCAAACTGGCCAGGGCCATTCCCTGACCTTTCTACAGAGCATTCCCTTTCAGGCCCATGCTGTTTTGACTTCAAGGCTTTTCTGCAAGTATCGATGTACTGGGTCATTTGTCTCACCCACTACAACTTGCTCCATGCAAGGAGGGCCCTATCTCACTCTCTGCTGAGTCTCAAGTGCCTGGAAGAGGATCTAGTTCACTGCCAGTGATCAATAAATACTTGGTAGATGACTGAATAAACATGTAGAAAATACAGATCATTTCCCAGGAAATGCAGAAACAACTAAATTATGTACCACTCTAGTTTTCCATGATACCTGAAGACTATCCACCCTGGGAAAACTTGGACCCAGTGTCATTAAGTGCTAAGGAACTGATGTCTCATCTGCCACTTAGTTCCTTGTATCTCTGCAATACCTTCCCCATCACTAAGAGCAATTTAGAGCCTAAAGGTGCTTACTGATATTACTTGTTGGATGAGGGAAACTCCTTTACATAGAAATTGCCAATAGTGGCTGGTTTGTGAAGCCTCCCCAAATCCGGCCGCAACTGAATCATTTATTCAATGAACAAACAGTACGGGTTGACTCTAGTGAGCTCCTTGCCAGACACTGTCCTAAGAACTAGGATATGTTATGATAAAACTTCAAGGTAGGGTTCTGTTGTTATGCCCACTTTACAGATGAGAAAGCCAAGGCACATGGAGGCCAAAGAATCCAGAATGGGATCCAGGCATCCAACTCCAAAGTCTGCATTCTTAAGTGTACTTCAGTATTTACTGAGTGCGTACTATGTACTGTGCTTCTAACCAGGCAGTGAGGACAAAAGAACAAACCAGACCCAGGCCTGATCTTCCTGGAGTTTAGTCACACAGACCCTTTCCAACCTCAGCTCCTTACACCCATTGAAACAAACCCACTGAATAAGCCCCCCTTCCTCCCAATGCCAATTGCTAGGATCCGCCTCAGCATTCACTCAGCTCTTTACACTCCACTAGACCACAGCAACTTCCTGTAATTTATTCTAATTCTGTGAATTATGTGTACCCATTCAGAACTATAACCCACTGCTGTGTATTTGATTATCTCTCCACAAGAAGCATTCTTTTTTCCTTGACTTGACCTTGAGGGTGTGGAGGGGAGGAACTAAGTCTGCTGTACCCTTTGATCTCATCTTTGCCCTGCCTCCCACCCCTCTTTCAAAGGCCACCCCAATGCTACACCCAGAGCAAGCCTCCAATGAATTTCTTGTACAAACATATTCCTACCTTGTGGTCTGCCAGAAAACACAAAATATAGCAACTTCATTTATTTGGTTCCTTAAGATGCTCAAACACTAACTTGCTTTGCTAATCCAGTGGGCGTTTATACCAAATAAAAAGCAAAAATATCAACAGAAGTGAAGAGCCTCCTATTCCCTTCCTGTGATCTGTTGCCACAGGACTAATATAAGAAAAACTTAGGCCAAAAAGACGTTGGAAGGGAAAGAGCTTCTTTCACCACCTGCCGGAATTGTCGTCCTCTCTCTTCACACCATACAGGGCATACAGAAACAGCTGTCCTGGGCCAGTCTAGGGTTCAATGGGCGGGGGAGTCCACGGCAAAGAGAGGCCCCGAATGACTTGCTGTGAGTGGGCTTGGCTGTCCCCAGCTTCCCCCTCCAAGGTCAGAGAAATTCTTGTGTCTCCAAGCAGCCTGTTGTCATCTTTATGCAAAATATTTCAATCTGTTGATAATTTATTTTCAGTCCCACATTTTGAGGAGAAAAAAATGAGTGCTAATCCCTAAATTCATTAAGCACTAAGTAAAGAAGTAATTTATAAACTTTTAAGAAGTTTAAGTTACCTTAGACAACAGACAGGGAAATGGAACTATGCTATGTAATAGTGGGTGTTTCTTTTCGGATGAGGAAATTCTATATGTATATGGACAAGTAAAGTTGGTCTCAATATACAAAAAGTGAAAAATAAAGGTTGCATATCAATGTGTGATGATTCTATTTTCCAATAAAAACACTATACTCTGCATATGTAGGAAAAATTTGAAAGAAGTAGTGGACTCAAGTTCATTTCTTATTTTTATTTTTGTGTGTTTTTTTAATCCTTACCCAAGAATATGGCTTTTTTTGTTTTTGTTTTTTTTTAATCTTCACCTGAGGATATTCCTCTGTTGATTTTCAGATAGAGTGGGAGTAAGGGAGGGAGGGAGTGGGGGAGAGAAACATTGATGTGTCTCTATGTGAGACAGACACATCAACCGGTTTCCTCCCACACAACCCTGACCAGGGTTGGGGATCAAACCCAACCGAGGCACAAGCCCTTGACCTGAATCGAACCTGAGACTCTTTGGTCCACAGGCCCATGCTCTAACTGCTGAGCCAAACTGGCCAGGGTCTTTCCACTCTATCTTAAAAAACAACAGACCAATGGGAAAATATCCTCTGTTGAGGATTAACAAAAGAAAAAAGGAAAGAGATCAACTTGAATGTCCAAATACCTGAAGTCCGAAGCTTCTTCCTCTTACTCATTGTATCCCTCCCTTGAGAAATCTGAAAAAGAGCAAAACCTCATCATTACAAGCAGTCCCTGGGGACAGACCCAGTGACATTGACTGAGAGCAGAGGCCACCCATCCCCCAACTTGGCCCAGGTGGGGTCAGTTGGGCCCCAAGAGGACACAGGGTGGGAATCACAGCAACCTTGGGCCATGGCTGAGTAAGAACTCAAACCTCCTCCGTGCTGCAGAGGGAAGAAAGGGAACTGCCCATTTTCTACCCAGGATCTGAGAGCGCATGGGTGGAGCTGGGGATGGGGGTGTCCTCAGTGGGAAGCCTTGGCGACTTCGGCTCTAGTCCCTAAGCTGGGGCAGCCTGTGTGAAGCCTCTCCCTCCAGGCTGGAGTCTCTGGGAACCTTCTAGAGACACCCAAGGGCTTTCGAGGGGACACTGGAGACCCTTCAGTCACCTGGTAACTTTAGAGAGGCTATCTGGGACGCTTCAAGGGGCGGGGGGGTGGGGCCTTTTGCAAGGCCTGTGGGGCCTTGAAGGGATAGGAGTTACCACAGGGCAATTCCTTCCAACTTTGGGGGCTGGATAAACAAACTGACCTGAGCCAGAGACGTTGTTGAGGTCCCTTTGTCCTTATCAGGAACTGAGTAGGTCTGCCTAGAGCTGTTGGGGGACAACTAGGTTAAATTATATGCGTGAAATATTTTGGAGAAAATAAAAGGTAATTTGTCCCCTCTCGGAAGCTGGGCAGCCCCAGGGTCTGGAGCGGAAGGGCCAGGAGGCCGGAGGCCCGAGAGTTGTGTACTGGCTTCTGGTAACTAGGCCCACACTAACCCTACCACGGCCACTGAAACTTGAGGAATGCCGACACGGACCGCCACGCGGGACGCAGTGAACCCCGCGGCCACTACCTCCCCTCACACCTGTACGCGCTCTACTTCTTTCCCGCGAACTACGAGGCCCAGCTGTGCGCATGCGTGACGCCAGCTTTGCAGCTCTCACCCATTCACGCTCCGCCTCTTGCCCCTACCACCAGGGACACCACCCGCCGCCCCGCGTTGCGCATGCGCACTCACGCACTGCCTGTCGGGAGTGGTAGTTTCAATGCGGCGGGCCCCGCAAGTCCAGTGGCTTCGCTCAGGTGCCGCGACGCCCAAGGGACGAGGCGGAAGTAGGGCGGCTACCCCGGGGACCGAGGACGCTGGGTCGGCATTCGCGGGGCGCCGGCGAGGGGCACGGGACTCAGGAAGGGCGCGTGCGCGCTGATAGGCCCCGGGGGAGGAGGCAGGGCAAGGCCAGGCGTGGGGGCCGTGGTCTGGGCATCTTACCTGGAAGATGCACAAGAGGAAGGGAACCCCGGGACCCCCGGGCCGAGGCGCCGCCGCCGCCCGCCAGGTGAGTCTGTATCCCGCGGCCCTGCCGAAGGAACCCTCGCCACCTCTCAGGGGAACCCGATCTCCACCCCCAGGTGAGCTCAGGTCCCCGCCCCCCAAGTGAGGTTCGCTCCCAAAGTGCGGCCTACTGGACCTGGCTTCCCAGCTTCTGGAGCCTCGCCCAAGGCTCAGAGCCACCTGTTGCCCCAGTATCTTCCAGTAGAGGAGGGGAAGGCCTCGACCTGGGACAGGACAGTTACTGCTCTGGCGGCCTGAGTAGCTTCCAACCCTCCTATCAGTCAGGCCACGTCAGACTCTTTTTATCCCCATTGTAAAGATAGGGACACTGAGGCCTAGAAAGGTGAAGACACCTGCCCAAGGTCATGGGAATTAACAGATTGGCCAGAGTTAAACGCAAATCCAGAGCTGCTGCCCTGAGCCCACAGGACTGTGGCTGGGTCCTTTCCCCGCTCTCCCGTCTTCTCTGTCCGAGGCACCAGGAGAGTTTGATTTTTTTCAGCTTTGATTAAAAGAGCCCAGCCCATTGCTTAGTGCCCAGGTGTTAGAGTCTGGCCAATCTGAAGTTCCCTCCTGGCCTCTGCACCTTGGATACTTGGCCTCACAGCTCTCAGCTTCAGTTTCCTCATTTGTAAAATGGAGGCCCAAAGAGTCCCTGTGTCATAGGACAGGTGTGAAAATTCACTGGGATGGTTTATTGAAAGTGCTAAAACATAGCACTCGGTAAGTGTTACTGTCATCGTTGTTACTATTAGGAGGAGCCATGCATAATTGCCAATATTGGGCCATTTTTGATCCACAGAAAAGGTAATTTTATATAGTTCAACCTAATATTATCATGTCATGATAGGTCATGAATCAGGATAAGACAGGAAAAAGGTCTGTTACACAGCAAAGATCCCACTTTCAATGTCATGTTACTGTCAGGGCTTCTATTTACTTTTGATGCCTCCAACCTTCCTGCATAGCACCTCTGCTGATGATGCTGGAAGTAATAGCCCAGCTGTGCAGAGCAGCTGTGCTTTGGGCAGGGTATGGGGCCTGCTTTCCCTACTGATCTCTGCTAGCAGTACATCATGGGTACAGACTCAGAGCAAGGAGCTTTGTCTCTCTACCTGCCCTTTGCCCCATGTTGATCTATGCTAGAGGACCTGGCCCATCTTGGGACACCTGTTGCATTCTGGGCCTGTTCCAGACTTCTGATACTCCCCAGGGAAATGGCTTTTGACAGGAGGCCTGGGTTCTCTTCCTTCTGAGAGAACCCTGGATCCATCATGGCTGCCTCTGGCTATGTGGGGTGCATCCCAAGGTCTGACTGGACTCTTGCTGTTCCCATAGCTGGGCCTGCTGGTTGATCTCTCCCCGGATGGCCTGATGATCCCCGAGGATGGCATTAACAATGAGGAACTGGAGGCTGAGTTCCTGGCTTTGGTTGGGGGCCAGCCTCAAGCTCTGGAGAAGCTCAAAGGCAAAGGTAAGACTCTCAACACATCCCTGGAACATTTCCTGAGCTCCCACTGTGGACCAGGCTCGGAGCTGGGTAGTAGGAAGATGAGGGAAAGGAGACAAAGAAGGTTCCTGTCCTCCTGAAACCTACAGTCTGAGTTAAAGGTTAAGCGATCAACTCTGGACCCAGAGTGAGGGTTCGAATCTGGCTATGACTTGATGAGCCTCAGCACCTATGTGGGCCTCAGTTTCCCCATCTATAAAATGGAAATAAACTACACAGGAATGAATCATCTAGTGTTCTTTTTTTTTTTTTTTTAATCTTTACTCGAGGATATTATTCCATTTATCTTCAGAAAGGGTAGGAGAGAGAGAGAAATGCTGATGTGAGAGAGACACACCAATTGGTTGCCTCCCTCACGACCCCCACTAGGGCTGGAGACCGAACCACAACTGAGGTATGTATCCTTGACCAGAATCAAACCTGTGACTCTCTGGTCCACGGGCCGATGCTCTAACTGCTGAGCCAAACAAGCCAAGGTTCATCTAGTGTTCGTTTTTTGTTTCTGTATTTTTATCCTCACCCGAGGACATTTTTTTGCATTTATCTTCAGATAGAGTGGAGGGAGAGAGGAAGGAAGAGAGAGAGAGAAACATCGATGTGAGAAAGACACATTGACTGGTTGCTACCCACACAACCCCAACTGGGGCCAGGGACAAACTGCAACCAAGGTACATACCCTTAGCGGGAACCGAACCCCGGTCTCTCTGGTCCGTGGGCTGACGCTCTAACCACTGAGCAAAACTGGCCAGAGCTGATCTAGTGTTCTTTTTTTTTTATCCTCACCCGAGGACATTTTTGCATTTATCTCAGATAGAGTGGGAGGGATTAAGGGAGGAAGAGAGAGAGAGAAACATTGACGTGAGAGAGACACATCGACTGGTTGCCACTCGCACAACCCCAACCGGGACCGAAGACAGACTGCAACCTAGGTACATGCCCTTAGTGGGAACTGAACCCAGGTCTTTCTGGTCCGCAAGCCAACACTCTTAACCGCTGAGCCAAACCAACCAGGGCTCATCTAGTGTTCTTAAAGTACTTCACATGGCACCTGGTGAGTTGTCCAACCCACTGTCCTGTGATCAGGTCTGGCATGGGGGAAGCACAAAGCATTGGGAGACAACTGTGAGATGGGGAGGACCACATGAAGAGTTAGGGAACACTCTGGGAAGGACCATAGCATATACAAAGGCCCTGGGGGAGATGGCAGTAGACAGAGGATTCCAAAGTGGTCAAGTGGGCTGGAGCCCAGACAGCAAACATAGCCTTTACACTTTCTAGCTAATACAGTTAATACCTATTATCACAAATTCCATATTTGTGAATTTACCTATTGGCTAAAATTTATTTGTAACCCCAAATCAATACATGCAGCTCTTTTGCAGTCACTCTTGGACATGTACAGAGCTACAAAAAGTTTAAGTCAACTTACCCAGCATCCCACAGTGAGGAAGTTCCAGAGCCAGAGTTTGAACTCAGGCTTCATAAGGAAGGGAAAAGGCTGGTGAGGTCAGCTGAGGAGCAGGATCATGTCTGCTGGCCCTTGGGCAGTGAGGTGCCATGGAAGTGCCAGGAGGGAGACATGCTGCCCCATTTGCCTGCTACCCTATTCTTCGGGGCTGTGGGTGATGGGGATGGGAGGCTAGGGACTCTTGAAGGATCCTGGTCCAGCTGGCGCCTCCCTCTGCTACCAGGTCCTCTGCCCATGGAGGCCATTGAGAAGATGGCAAGCTTGTGCATGAGAGACCCAGATGAGGAGGAGGAAGAGGGGACAGACGAGGAGGATGTGGAGGCCGATGATGACCTGCTGGTGAGTGTCCAGGGTGGGGCAGGGGGCCTTCTCTCCCATTGTTGTCCCTATCCATTGGGTTCTCATGCAGGCCCCTGGCCTTGTGTCCCTTCAGGCGGAACTTAATGAGGTCCTTGGGGAGGAGCAGAAGACTTTGGAGTCCCACCCTCCTGTGGCCCAGGTATACCTCTTGACAACCCTGTTTTCCATAGTCTGGGGTTCAAGGCCTTCCCTTGAACCTCTTAGCCATGTGACCTCAGTCAGGTGATGGCACGCCTCTGAGCCCCAGTTCTCTATACTAGGAGATGGTATGATAATTTCTGCCCCTCCAAGTTCAGGGCAACTGACCCAGGGGTAACATGCCTGGTGTGCAGTAAGCCCTCAACCAAGGACACCTTCAGGGTGGGACAAGTTGGGTCACCACCCACCCACACCATGCCCCTGGCCCCTACCACAGCCGAAAGCCACAGCCCCCAGCCCAGGGTTAGAGGCTACCTTGCAGGAGAGGATGGCCCTCTACCAGACGGCGATTGAAAGTGCTAGGCAAGCCGGAGACAGCGCCAAGATGAGGCGCTACGACCGAGGACTTAAGGTAAGTGGGCAGACAGGAGGGTGCTGGGACCGCACCACTGCCCCTGTACTCAGCTTTGGGCTCTTCCAAAACTCACATGTACACCTTCTCCCAGACACTGGAAAACCTGTTAGCCTCCATCCGGAAGGGCAATGCCATTGACGAAGAAGATATCCCACCACCTGTTGCTGTGGGGAAGGGCCCAACAGCTGCATCTAACCTCACTCCTGCACCCACCCTGCCAGCCTCTATGAACCTGCTGGCCCCAGAACCTAGGGTCACAGTGGAGGGGCCTACTCCCACTGCCTCAGCCTCATCACTGGGCTTGGCTAAGCCCCAACTGCCCCCAGGTAGGCCAAGAGTAGGGATATTGACATGGAATATTGGAGGATATCTTCAGTGGTTGGCCCCTCTATGAGGGTATAGGCCCTATACTGACT